ATAATATTCATAGGTCTGTTTTCTGTAGCCCAGAATGGACAAACCAAATACTGGCTGTACTGCAGTTTCTTCTTCATACTTCACAGCCAGTTCTCATTCCCAGGTCATCAACTGTAGACACAAGTCGTGTTCAGTTAGTTGTGATCTACAAATTCACTATTAGATGTCACTAAATCACTGGCGCATTAAGTAAAAGTACAGAATTATTAAAAGAAAAATGTACTTAAAGTATCAAAAGTAAAAGTGCCTGTTATGCAGTAGAAAAGCTTCTGTCAGTGTTGGTGGAGCTAATTTGAACTGCTTGTAACTCTATTTTTTTTTTTAAGAAAGCTCATCTGGTGTTTTATATGTAAAAACTTAAGAAGATTAAACATAAAATAAATAAAGTAATAGTCAATAAAGTACAGGTAACTTGAACTTAAATGTATTTACTTTCCCCCACTGTAACATTGTCTATAAAGTATGTTGTGATTTTAATGTAGTGTCAGCAGATAGACAGGCACATAGTGAGTTAATCAGCTGGATTGAGAAACACAGTCAGACAGATGGACAGAGAGTCAGACAGGCGGACAGAGATTGATGAATTATTTAGTCGTGTTGCTGTAGATCTTCAGCTAACGGTAGAAAGTGTTTCATTGCAGACAGCAAATCAATGGCTGGTTTTCTCTGTCTGGCTCTCACCTGCAGCTCTTTTACTTGAGTAAACATACTAATAAAGTATTATCAGCTAAATATAAAGTATCAAGTACTTGTTTTGAAGAAAAATGTCCCCTGTGACTGATATGTCATTATATATTACACGATTAGATAATAATACTGAAGCACAAATGTGTAAGCAGCATGTTGTAGTGCTGGAGTATTTCAGTCCAGTGGTTCCTAACCTGAGGGTCAGGCTCCTCCAAAGGTCATAAAATAAATCTGAAGGGTCGTGAGATTATTTAATGGGATTGGAAAGAAAAAACTAAATTCCGCTACACAAATGTTTAATCATTTTTGGAGTTCTCTCTGATCTTTGCCTTCTTCGTGAAACACTTTGATGATTTGACATCTTTGAGCATCAAACAGTTATTTAAATGACACCATCTGAGAAGTGTAGAGAAAAAATCACTCTTTGGTGGAACTTTGACCAACTCATAAAAAAAGAAACTAACTGCTGTCAGATATCTGTAGTGAAGTCCATTATATTACTCTGAAATAGAGTCGAGTGGAGGTATAAAGTAGCATTAAATAGAAATAATTTAAAAGTACTTAAATGTACTTTAGTCCAGTATGTGAGTAAATATAGTTGGTTTCCACCACTGCCTTACACACACACACACACACCAGAGTGCTGTGTGTCAGCAGGATGAAGCAGTAAAGGCCGGGCAGTAGTTCATCCTCAGAGCTGGTACAGTATCTGTAGACTGAAAGTCAAATAAAGTATGCAACAAATCCTGGGTACTTTAGTAAAGAAATTCCCTACTTCATGACAGCTTTGGGGAGTATAATTTAAAAACCACTTAACAGGAATTGGGAATTTGTTATAGTTGATTGTTGGCGTGTGAGTGAGAGTTTCTTACAGTTGAATAAGTCAGTTGACCTCGGAAAAAGAAAAAAAGAGCTGTATCTGCCCTTTTTTAATTCAAGAATGTGCTTTTATATTTGCATATTCTCAGAGACATTCAGCTAACGTAGTGTCAGGAGTCAAGAGGTTTAAGCTGAGGCTGATGCAACGTAGAAAAGGAGTTCCATCACGATAATTAGCTGCTCAACGTACTGTATACAGGCTGATTCTCCACTAGACTTTACCTTGGTTTCATGACCAGCAAACAGGGTTTTCTATTTCTTGCGTGTGCACAGGTGGTGGACAATAACTCTCTGCCCTTACTATGCATGTAGATTCACAGCTACGTAGCAAAGAAAAGACAGCAGTGAAGTTTGAAGACAGTAGATTGCCTTAATCTTTACTGGAAGCACTTGTGAAACAGTGACACATGTTTAATGATGTGTGACGACATACCATTAACAAGACGTACTGTAAAAATGAATGAGTACAGAGCGGGATTCACAAAAGTATAGACTAATTATCTACATTCATGCAAAGAAGAAACTGATCTCACCAGATCAACATCAGTCCCCATCAGAGGCACAGTCAATAATTTAATTAACATACAGGAGGTATTATCAGTGTTTGGATGTTAGCAACATATTCATTGCACTTTACTTAACGTAATACTACTTGTACACTACTGTGTTTGTCTGTTTATAGTGTACAGAATAGGAGGAATGTAATAATGTCCCCCTGTATACTGTATATACTGTATATACTGTATACTGAATGACAATAAATTCTTCCTTGAACTTTGGACATTAGCTCACACAGCTAAATGTTAGCTGAAGGTTATAAAACATAACCAAGAAAGCTTGGAAAAAGCCTGTAAATGTATCTTAGCTCCCAGAAAAGGCTCATATTCCCTGTCGCCCATTTTAAAGCCTTTAAATTAAACCTAAACATGTCTTTCTAACTTATTTAAATGAAGGCATCCTGAGGCTTTATGCACACATTAACTAGTCTAAATATAACAGAGAGTGAAGAGTGAAGCACAGCTCATCAGAACATATTACTCCTGGTCTTTAGTCTGGGCTCTGTGGCTCTCTTCGTCTGGGCTTTGTGTGTCCACCAGAGGTTCAGATACTGGTTTCCCACTGGCAGCTCCTCCTTTAACATCAGCTTTTGTCAGTCTTCTCCTTTTGCTCTGTGGCTCCTGCCTCCTGCTCGTCTTTGCCGATACAGTGTCTCCGTGTTTGTTATAAACACTCATGACTTTGAGGACAGTTCGACTCGACACATCACATAACTGGGCAGTTTTTCTGACCGACAGACCTGCAAGCTGTGCACCAACTATTTGGCCCCTGTCAAAGTCTGTTAACTCACTCATGCTGGGAGTGGAGGTGTTGGTTGTCTCCTCTGAAGCTGGCACACAATCCCAACTGGAGCTGGGATTTAATTACTACCAAGCTGGAGCTGGTTTCTCTTATTTTGTCTACTGTAGTGCAGACTGTGGGGGAGATCACTGGTGTCCTTTCAGTCTATAAATAGATGGAAAACAATAACATGATGTTTATAACAAACATTATATTCAATACTCAATTGTATGCAAAGACAGGACACAAACGAGGTGAAGCTAACGTTACCTGAGGCAGGTAAATACAAGAACAGGAGCTGGACTAAATAAAGCGCACACACAGAGCAGAGCAGAGCAGAGAGCCAGCAGCAGCTCACACACATTCAGAGGCTCACTGGAGTTCGTTTGCTTTCTGCTGACAGTCAAAGGTGTTCAGTCCACTCGACGGTCCCTGTCGATGCTGTAATGAAGGCTAGCCTGGTAGCGAGCTACTACATTAGCTCCCATCAACAACATACATATTCAGGATATAGTGTTATCGTTTTAATGCCATTCAGAGACTAATGGAGCTCATTAGCGTGTGCACTGACTGTGGTGTGTTGTACTTACTGTCTGTCTGTCTGTCTGTCCACCGCTACTTTATCTCCGACCTGTTTGTTTCACCAGGAGACAATCACTGCTGCTCCCAGCTTTTCACAATAAAAGCGGCAGGTCTGCTGCTTTACACCACTCAATGTTTCACTTTAACACTTTACTTAAACTACTGAGCAGTAAACA